AAACATATGCAAGAAGATGAAGGCAAACACAACAACAAAAAGGGTTTCGTCTCTTTGCGGAGAAAAAGTGCACAAGCTTTTAATTATGATACTTTAATAAAGGGCAATTGAGGTATATGTGTAAAAGTAAAAAAATGTATTAATGTAACTATGTATAATAATTGTGGGGACATAATTTTTGAATGACAACACGTGGCCAAGGTGTCAGCGAAGTGCCAGACAAGGTGCCACGTGTCCTAATCATGACGCCGAGATAATTTCGGCTAGGTCGAGGTTATCTGCGAAGATACCAGAATCCGAGATAAGTAGATAAGAGACAAGAGTCCTAGAATGAGAGAGGATTTCAGTTTGGGTAAAGATAATACTCTTAGAGAGTTTATCTCATTCATACTGGGAGTCCAAGATTAGCAGTAATCCTAAATCCATTCAAGCTAGGCTTCTATTGGGACTAGCTTTGTGTTGGCTATAAAAAAGAGGCACCCTCATGGGTCTAAGGTATGCTTTTATGCTCTGAATAGTGAGTTAAGTACTTTTGCTATCTTTAAGAGATAACTGACTTGATTGTCGGAATGCCCCCGGGAGGATGAACCACCGCTGGAATCTCTTTTTTTGTGACAGGTTGTTCAGGCTTAATTTATTCTGCCAGTGTTCTCCAGCTGAATGCTTGATTAGCAGTGTGGTCAGAAATTGACACACACAATTTGGCGTCGTCTATGGGAAAGAAAGGAGAATAGATGGCCAACGACGGAATAAAAGATGCCCGGAAAAGGGAGGCAGAACACAGTTCCTGCAGTCCCTCAGCACGACAGGGCAAAGGGGCATTCTCACCGGCCTTCACGGGAGGTCGGGCATGGAGAATCAAAGAGGGCCGGAGAATGATGCTTGGGAGTTGGAACTTACAAGCTAAGGTTGGTTTAACACTTGTTGAAATTTTAAAAATTTACAAGTTGAAGTTAAACCGAGGACATGTTTAACACTTGTTGAAAATTTTAAGAAAAATTTACAAGTTGAAGTTAAACTGAGGTCATGTTTAACACTTGTTGAAATTTTAAAAATTTACAAGTTGAAGTTAAACCGAGGTCATGTTTAACACTTGTTGAAATTTTAAGAAAACTTTACAAGTTGAAGTTAAACTGATGTCATGTTTAATACTTGTTGAAATTTTAAGAAAAATTTACAAGTTGAAGTTAAACCGAGGTCATGTTTAACATTTGTTGAAATTTTAAAAAAAAATTTACAAGCTGAAGTTAAACTGGGGTTATGATTAAAGGAAGGAATGATATAGGTTTCATCACCTTAGGATGCCGAGGTAATAGAACCTAGGGGGCAGCTGTGGGGACATAATTTTTGAATGACAACACGTGGCCGAGGTGTCACCAAAGTGCCAGTCGAGGTGCCACGTGTCCTGATCATGACGTCAATATGATCTCGGCTAGGCCGAGGTTATCTGCGAAGATACCGGAATCGGGGATAAGCGGATAAGGGACAAGAGTCTTAGAATGAGAGAGGATTTCAGTTTGGATAAAGATAAGACTCTTAAAGAGTTTATCACATTCCTACTGGGAGTCCAAGATTAGTAAGTAGTAATCCTAAGTCCATTGAAGGTAGGCTTCTATTGGGACTAGGTTTGTGTTGGCTATAAAAGAGGGGCACCCTCATGGGTCTAAGGTATGCTTTTATGCTCTGAATAGTGAGTTAAGCACTTTTGCTATGTTTGAGAGATAACTGACTTGATCGTCGGAGTGCCCCCGGGTAGATGAACCACCGCCGGAATCTTTTTTTTTTGTGACAGGTCGTTCGGGCTTAATTTATTCTAGCAGTGTTCTCCAGCTGAATGCTTGATTGGCAGTGTGATCGGAAATTGACACACACAATAATAATAAAGAATGAAGTGTATTTAGAATACAGTAGAGTGAGAATAGCAACTCTCTATCTCATCTTTTGACAATAACTTTTGTATTCATCACTGTTGTAACAATTTTGAAAAACAAACCATTGACTGGTAATACTTTTTCCCTATCTCCACTGTCAAGTGATTCACCTTATTTATTATGGACATGGTGTCACCGGTACGGTTGATGCACAACCGTGACTGTTGTGCGGTCTGTGTGATTTGTTTCGGGTCTTATTTTGATGATATTAACTGTTTACATTTTGGAAAAATATCAAGAAGAATATACTTGTTAAAAATTAAGTTAATTAGATATCGATAATCTTTTCATCAAAACACATATGTATATAAAAGGGCAAATTACAAACACCCCCCTCGAGGTTTGGTGAAAATACAGATTCTCCCCTGAGATTTGAGAAATTACAAATTGCCCCCTGAGGGTTAAATTTTCATAACAAATTAGGGGAAATTATGAAGGAATCTGTATGAAAATAAAAACCTCAATGGGCAATTTGTTATAGAAATATAAACCTCAGTGGGCGGGATGTAATTTCTCAAACCTCAGGGGGGAATCCGTATTTTCAACAAACCTCGAGGGGGGTGTTTGTAATTTGCCCTATATAAAAATAAATAAATATGTATGTATCAAACTGAATACAAATGTGATTTGATGAAGGGGTTGTCAATATCTAATTAATTTGATTTTTTATAAGTATATTCTTCTTGATATTTTTTAAAATTTAAACAGTTTAGATCATCAAAATAAAATCTGAACATAAAATCTGAAACGAGTCTCACATCGGTCACCGATATGCATTAAGCACAACAGTAACCCTAAATCCATTTATTATTAGGTATATTTTTATTGACACATTAATTTATATTTTAATGGGTATCAGTCCTTATATTTTATGATTTTCTATTTATGGATATATTTTAATGGGTATCAGTCCTTATATTTTATGATTTTCTATTTATGGATATGGTTTGAGATTAAACAGAACAGTTTATAATTTATTACATACAATTTTATTAATATATACGTAAATTATAACTCTTTACTTTATAAAAGTGTTCTTATATAGTAGCAGAACAATTCTAAACAATCATCTAAAAAATTTTAAATTTTGTGATTATGTTATGAATAATAAGAAAATTTTAAAATTCATTGCTTCAAATAAAATCTTTCAATATTGTAATAGTTTGATATGTTTTTAAATTTGATTAAAAAAAATTACATTTTTCCTTTTTATGTTTGGCTATTTTTTTTTCACTTTAATGCTTAAAATTTATTTTTTTTACCACTTTAACCCTTTATATTTGAAGTTTTTTTTAGTTTTTTCTTAAAATTAATTTCTGTTAAAAATTAAAACAATCACGTAATATAAATTTTTTAAATATATATAACTCATATCAATGACATAAATTTTTTTTAGCATTTATTTTTTTTATGTTATATGATAATTATTGTGATATTTTTTAAAATAATTTTAAATAAAAATTAATTTTAAAGGTAAATTAAAAAATCTTGAAACATAAATGTTTAAAATGAAAAAATGACAAGATATAAAAGGGTAAAGTTTAATTTATCGAATTTACATAATGATTTAATTCTGGTTTGGAAAATTTTAATATACACCTCTGAGGTTTGTTTAAAATATGAATTGCCTCCTGTGGTTTAAAAAATTACAAATACTGGTTGTGTTTGGTAACGTTTACGTTTTCAGTTTATATTTATAAAAATTTTATAAACTGGTTTTTGTTTATTTTTAGAAAAACATAAACTACAAACGCGTTTGATAATTGACAAAAATATTTTTTTTTAAATATAAAAAAGAGTGAGAAATGGCAAATGGCAGCGGAAGACAGTGATGGAAAGTGGTGACGGTGGGTGGTGGGTAGCGGGTGGGTGGTGGTGGTGGGTGGGTGAGTAACGGCGGTGGTGGGTGGTGGGTGGTAGCGAGTGGGTGGTAGCGGGTGAAGACGATGGTGGAAAGTGGTGGCAAGTGGCGGGTGGGTGAGTGGTGGTGGTGAAAGACGGTGGTGGAAAGCGGTGACGGATGGATTGATGGTGGTGGCAGGTGGGTGGTGGTGGCGAGTAGCTGGTGATGGTAGTGGTAGGTGGCTGGGTGACGGTGGCGGATGGTGGGTGATAGTGGCCGGTGGGTGGTGGGTGATGGTGGTAGTGGTGGTAGTAGTGGTGGGTTGTGGGTGGTGGTGGCGGGTAGGTGGCAGGTGGATGGTAGGTGGTGGCGGTGGTAGTGGTGGTGGCAGGTGGGTGACAGGTGGCTAGTGGTGGCGGGTGGTGGATGGTGGTGGCAGGTAAGTAATGAGTGGTGGTGGCAAGTAGGTGGTGGTGGTGGTGGTGAGTGGGTGACAGGTCGGTGGTGGCTGGTGGGGGTGGCAGGTGGGTGGTGGGTGGTGGTGGCAGGTGGGGGTAGGGGGGGGGTGGTGGGTGGGGGTGGCAGAAGACGGTAGTGAAAAATGGTGACGGGTGGTGGCTAGTGTTGGGTGGTAAAAAAAAAAAACTCAAAACTCAAAATGGAAATACATTTTTTGTGTTTTCATTTCTTGACCAAATTTATAAACTGAGATCACTAATTTATAAATCAAAAATTTTACCAAACAAGTTTTTATTTAAGTTTTTTAAATTCTTGTAAATATAAACAGAAAACGTAAGTGTTACCAAACGGTTTCCTGCCAGAATTTTTTTATTTAATAGAATTAATTAAAAAAGTGAAATTTCTAACTGTTTACCTATACAATAATAAAATTATCTTAAATAAAATTTTAACATTATTAAAAACTGTTAATTAACTTGATAATTTATTAATAAAATGACTTATTTATTATGAAATTAGAAATCTTAAGAAGCATAATATAATTTTTAGAACTAAAAAAATAATTTGTAATTTAAATAAATGTGTTTGTAATTTATTTATTTATTTATATTTTATTATTATTATAAGATGGATATCCCCATTTTACTCAACGGAACCGATTTTGAATACTAGCTAGGGATAATTTTGTGCAAATGATAACATATCAAGAAGGTACCCTGCACTGACGTGCGACGTGTTTGAATAAGAATGAGCCACGTGGCAGATCACATCCACGGGAATGGGAGTGTATCTAGTTGAATTACCAACGCAAACAAACAAGCAAACAGAACAGGGAAAGGCAGTGAAGCCGGAGTGAATGGCGACGATCCAAGTCGGAAATCTAGGGTTTGGATTGACGCCATTGCCAACGATATCACTGTTAAAACTAAAACCCAGAGCTGGTCTGCAATTTCACAAAGCTTTTGAGCCCTCAACTCCAACTCCAAGTGGAAATGGAAGAGTTGCCCTTGTTCGTCTGCCTTTATTCCCTGTTTGTTTGTGTTCTCTGGTAGACGAACAAAGGCAAGTTGAAGAAGACGAAGAAGAAGATGAGGTGGTTACCTTCAACGACCATGAAAATTCACTTATTGTTGCACTCATCGGCATTCAGGGCCGAGGCCGCTCTGCTTCTCCCCAACAACTCCAAGTACGATCCTATTCTCTCTCTCTCTCTCTCTCTCTCTCTCTCTCTCTCTCTCTCTCTAAAGATTATTACTGTATTATTACATGGACAACTAGTAGTGTATGGTTAACTGAAATCAATGCATTCAAAAGGTGCCCCCTCTGTTAAACAGAGGAAAAATTAAACAAATGAATCTTCACCAGCTCAATGTGGTTTCTGACAATATAAAACTGCAGTAATGATAGTAATGATAGAGACTCACAAAACACGACCTCACAATTCTTAAAATGATCTGAACTATTTATGCTGTTGTCAGAAATAATTTTTTAAAAAAATTCTAACACATCAATGGTGAATAGTGTCACTGGTCGGGGAGTCCTCCACACCCAAACATTTTCCTATAAACTGAAAGCTTTCTTCATTTTTTAATATTATTATAATTTTTTTTATTAAATTTTATTTTAAATTATTGATAGTAATGAATTTACTTTCCTCGTGACATAGTTGATTTTAAATAACACATATTAATGAACTTATTAAATTACTAATATATATTCGTTTTTAGTTAATGGAGTCTTAAAATTAACACATAGTAATATTCTTCAAGTGATACGTGTAATTTGAAAAAATTCTAATATGCTTTTATTTATTTGTAAAATTTCTTTTAAAACTTCAAAATTTAAAGGGGTAAACCATCAGTATCACTAAATATATATAGTGGGAGTTTATGTTTGGTATTAAGACAGACAATATTTTTTTAACCATCTCATCTAATATTTATTTTTTAAAATCAAATAAAAACAATAATTTTTGTATATTTAAAATTTCTCAAACCTACTTTATGTATATAAAAATAATTTGATGTACTATTTGTATATAAAATAATTAATAGTCTAATATACTATATACATTAAGGATTTTAGGTACCTCTAGTCTTTGTGATTCATTCCAATTCATGAGTGCTACTAGATTGTCCATTCAATGTCCACAGTTCCTGTAGAGGGTCAGAAATCCTTATGTTGACTTAACCACTAAAGTCGCCTTTATTTAGGGAATGATTATGATAAAAGGAGTATGGGCAAAACCCTAAGAAAAACGGGTCAACAATGGACCGAATAGGGTCCAACTTATTGGATCTGAAAAGACCACCTACGGGATAAGTACCCACGGTAATTACCCGAGGTAGGACCTATTGTGGCCGTAGTACCTGAGGTGACTTACTAAGGCACCGCCCCCCGCAAGACGACCGTTGCGCCGCCGCCTCCTCCAAGGCACAAGTACCTAAGGCATTCCCCCTAAGAGAAGACATCTGAGGTGATTGCAGCCACAGACACCTATTTGAGGCAAGACTCTCTAAGGTGAATGCAGCCTTAGAGGAAGACCCCTTCTCTATGGAAATAGAGAGCAATGCTTGGAGCCAACAACAGGCTCCAAAGGTACCAGTATACCGCGGCAAGTCAGGATCATGACTCGTGCGAAGATGGATGAAGAGAAGCTTGAACGTAAGGGACATCCTTTCCATTTACCCTGGCTATGGACCTGCATTGGTTGCAATGGTAGGACCAAGGGAGCCCTTGAGGCTTAGTATGAGGCACAACTCGATTGAGCTGAGCCTTTGTTGTGACCCAAAACAAGGAAATTGGGGATCTTGTGGTTTGGTGGCTAAGAGTAAAGGAGTCGCTGAGGTGGATCCAAGAATAACTAAATGCAAGCTATAACTGATGAGTAAGGTATGTTGGGAAATTGTACTACATAAGGTGGTAGAGAGTAAAGTATCATCGAGGTAGGTACTCTTGAGGGAAATACCACCTCAGAAGGTACCACCTCGAGAGGTGATATTGTGGGAGGTACTGCCGAGGTACATACCAAAACAGCACATACCGAGGGAGACACATGTCCACCGAAACTCTACGGTTAGGACAAGGAATATTCCATGTGATCCCAGAGATATGTGGCATCACTCTATTTAGCCACTTGGTATATTCAGTACCAAAGAAAAACCTACAAATAGGACCCATTTCCCAAGGTTTGAGAAGAGATTTTTTTTGTAGATTTGGAGAGGTGTTGCTCATTTCTATTGCCATATTCCTTCATTCCTAAACCGCTTGCTCTACTCTCATCTAGCTACTTGCTCTCTAGTCCTCAAATTATCTACTATTTGCATAGCTTTGCCACTCTAAGTGATATTATTTACATTGTTCATTTTGGACGTCCTACAGTTCCATTTTAGATAAATTACAAATACAACTCTTAAGATTTGTTTAAAATATTAATTACCTCTTGTGATTTTGAAAATTACATTATGTCCTTTAAAATTCTAATCACGTAACAAATAACTCCTTTCATTTATTAACTATTGAGTCAATTAATAGTTTTAAATGATGTCAGCAATATATTCAAATTAGGGCAAATTACAAACACCCCCCTCAAGATTTGGTAAAAATACAGATTCCCCCCTGAAGTTTGAGAAATTACATTCCGCCCACTGAGGTTTATATTTTCATAACAAATTGCCCCCTGAGATTTTTATTTTCATAGAGATTCTCCCCTAATTTTTCTTAATTTGTTATGAAAATTTGACCCTCAGGGGGCAATTTGTAATTTCTCAAACCTCAGGGGGAATTTGTATTTTTACCAAACCTCGAAGGGGGTGTTTGTAATTTGCCCTTCAAATTAATAGATTTGATAATTTGATTGTTGTATAGGAGGATAGTTAGGATTTTCTTTTTTTTCTTTTTTTTTTTCAATTCTGTTAAATGAAAAATTCTAACAATGGGTATTTGTAATTTCTAGAACCAGAGGGCAAATCTGCATTTTAAGAAAATCTCAAGGACTGTATTTGTAATTTACTCTTTTATTTATTTATTATTTTCTTTTCTAAATTCAGTAAGTTTTACATCGTACCGTGATAACACATTGGCAAGATTAGAATTTTTGGCCTTAGCTTTTTAATGGGCGAGTCTTAAACTACGCCTAAGAAGTAGGAACGCGGAAACAAACTTAGACACAATATGGATATGGTACACAACGATTTTAAAAGAGATTAGGATACAGACACAATAAGAATAGGACAAAGAAATATATATAGTTGTTATATATTATTTACTATTAATAACAATAATAATCTCCATGTTTTTTATTTATCATCATTTCTTGGTTCTCATATTGGAATCTAGAAGAATATCTATACTTTCACTTTGGAGGGAATTCAATTTTCGTTTTCCCTCCATGAAATTTTAGCTTCATTCCCACATTGAAATCTTAAGCAAATGATTATGCTCTCATCTCCTATAAATAAAGGAAGAATTTTCCTTATTTCTTGAAGCTTCCATTGGAGGTCCTCCTTTGAGGATATTCATGAGATGTAGTTTCTAGTTCTTTTAATATATATATATATAGAGAGAGAGAGAGAGAGGGAGAAATCAAAGAGTTAAAAACAGTGGTTTCAGACTGTTGTAATCTTAACAGTTCCAAAGATTTCGGGTCCTAACCGTTTTGGCAGTTTATGGATGTTGGGCTAGTTCAAATATTTGAATTTCTGGTTGTGTCTATAAAGAAGGGATGTGCCCTTCGTTGTCTGGTGTCTGTTCGAGTCCCTTTTAATGGACTCCCTGTAACAGCCCATAGACACTACTTCTAATCCTTTTTCTTTGCTTTTTCCTTGTATTTTCTAGGTTAAGGTTCTAGTTGAGAAAAATAACTAAGCAATACAGCCTTAATTCTGTTTTCTAGTTTAGGCATTTTTATATAACAATATTCCTTAGGGTAAATTATATTGATATTCTATGAGCTTTATGACAAATTACAGATACCTCTCTTGAAATTTGTAAAATGACAAAAGTCTTCCCTGAGGTTTAGTTTTTATTACTTATACCCCTTTCTATTAATTACTGTCAATTAGAAAAACGAAAATTCTTGACATCACCAACAAAATTGTGCACTTCCAAATTTTCCCTTATAAATTGTGTAATGACATAAATGCCATTCATATCTTGTTTTAAAGACATAAAAACTCTAAGTTATATAATAATAATAATAATAATAATAATAATAAAGGAGAAAAATACAAAAAATAAATAAATAAATAATTCTCCATTCTCTCTCTCCCCACCCACCGCAACTCAAACACTCTTGATGGTCGTTTAGCACACCAACGAGTTCTGCACGACTCGCAACACAAGAGGATTGACAATTAAAGTAAAGTCCTAAATTAAAATTAAAATAAGAATCAAATTTAAACTAATTAATCTTGCCAGAAGTCTCCGACAACAGTGCCAAAATTTGATAGGTCGTTTAGCACACCAAAAATAAAGACTAAACTAGGTTCCAATTCCTTAGAATAGAGATAAGTTTAGATATCGATCCATAGGAACTAAAGTGAAATTAAACCAATTTGATTTGCAAGATTCCTAAATTAATTTGATGAAAATAGTTGATGAATCTCGAATCTCGAATTGAAATGAAAATATAAATTCAATTTAAAAATAAATACTAGAGTTAAGAAATTAATTGGGGAAAATACTAGGGTTACCACTAGTTACATAAATAGGGTTTAAAAACAAGAATTGATTGCGATATGATTTGAACTACCCAATATTTCACAAATACAAGCTTGAAATATTGATCAAGAGGATTGTCACATTCAACATATATGCACGAATCATCTCAAGTAATACAAGTTGCTTGCTCTAAACTAAGGTAACAACATGACTCGTCTTATACTTTGAACACGAACGCAAATAAAACAATTGTATGAAAAGCATTCAACAATTACAGATAGAGGAACACTTAAAGAGAATAGTAGAAAAGTAATAAAAACTTCTAAAACATTCATACAATTTGTTCAAACCATTACAACAATCAAAACCTAAGAATACACCCTATTTACTTAGCTAGGGTTTCATCAAAACCCTAGAAAGAAGAGAGTAGCCACTCAATGAGGACTGAGAAGAAGAAGTGGATGGTGAAACCACTATGAGTGCACCTTCAACCTTGAAGTCCAAACCCTTCCAAACCCTAGCCTCTCCTTGTTTTTCCAAAAGTTTTTGAACCCTACTTCAACCTTCTCTTCTTTCTTTATATTTTGCAATTTTCAAAAACAGGCTTAAAATGTCGCGCACGCATCACCGCACGATGAGTGTTTCTTGACAAAAACTTCACTTTTCGACTCATTTTTCACCCTAGGCACATCCACCCTAATTAAGATCAAATACTCATAACATGTACCAAGTTATATTCAAAAGAGAGTTAAGAAATCTCAATTAAAGGTCTCAACAAAACACATTTCGGCCTCAATCAGCTCCCGCAGCCTTCTCATTGTCACAACACTGTGGCCTACTACAAGCCCCACCACATCTACTTACCATCACAATTAAGACCACTACAAGCCCCACCCCCCAAAATTGACCATGACCATTTCTTGCCCCATCCCCTACAACCACTATCACCACCACAAACCCCACAATGCAAAATCGAGATTTTGTGTGTGTGTGTGTGTGAGAGAGAGAGAGAGGAGACGGGAAAGAGGACAGGGAAAAAGGAGTACATAATAGCTCACATATAAGCAAAATCCATGTTTACCAGCCCTGGAATCTGTAATCAAGAATATGATCATGAATTAACGAAAAACTTAAAAACCCCATAAGCTTGCACATTATAGAAAAAAGGAAAATCAATTACCCTAAGAAACAGGTGAGACAACTTTGGCACAATATACAAAAGCAACAAGTACGTACATGGAAGATATAGTCACACTCACATTCCATACAGTAAGTATAGTGCTCTCATTATTACTATCAATGACGTTAAAGTAGGAAACAGTTTACCATTAGTGTGCCTTACATCGCTACCAACAAGGCATCACACACCCTCTAACGTCACCCACAAGAATCGCACATGGCCACTGTCTTTCTCCTTTTAATTGCAAACCGCCACCACCATAGACCACGACCACCTCCAATGGTACCTCTCCACCTAAATCCACCAACCTTGGGCCTTCTACCACTTCAAGCCACTAGTCCATCCACCATCTACCACCTCTAACCATCATCCCTCCACCATAGTCCCACCCTTATGGAAACTGTCTCTCTCATTCTCACAATAGCATACCCCCACTACCATAGTCCCCGACTACCTCCAGTGGTTCTTCTCTGCCTCAAACCACCAACCCAACTACCATCTATTGCCTTTAACCATCATCCATTCAGATATTGTATAGTCTGTATTTAGGGATAATGTTAGGAATCTAAGATATTGAAGGAGATGAGATTGGGTGTGGTTTGGTTTTATGTTAGGAGTGAGTGGACTTGGGTGTTGTAACGGAAATCTAAGAAACATAGAAGGAAAAATTGTAAAAGACAACTTTATGTTACCTCAGTGTGTCCAACAACACTGATAAGAGAGATCAGTGTCATTTCAGAAACCTCATGGGAGGTTAGTGTAATTTATTCTTTTATTTTTTTGAGCAACAACAAAGAAAGTTTTATTAAGAAACATGCATGAAACAAAGAGAGGACAAGGAGTCCTCATACAATGAAAAAGAAAACTAAACAAAAATCAACAGTGCAACTTGGAAAACATTCCAAAAACTAAGAATAGCAAACAACAATCCAATTCCTAGAAATAAAAAAAATAAAAAATAAAAAAATAGAACTCCTTTAAATAGAGGAGACACAAAAGCCCAAAACAAAGCCAAGTAACTCGTCTTATCCCATGAAGATTCCACATCTAACTCCTTGTCATAAAAAACTCATGCATTTCTTTCCAATTAAATGGTTCAAAAAATTGCAAAAACAATGTAAGACCACAATGTCTTGGCTTTCCTATTGCCGTCAAACCCTGCAAAATTAAGAAGAAGCATATTTGTACACACTCTCAGAGCTGCCCACTGTACATCACACAGTCCAAACAGATGCCTTCCATAAGAATAGTGCAACTAGACAATGAAGAAATAAATGATCCGCCGATTTTACATTCTTCTTACACATTATGCACCACTGAGGACAAAGGATGAGATTAGGCCTTCTCCTTTGGAAGAGATCATTGGTCATGACACTTCCTTGAGCTAAGGACCACGTAAAAAACTTCACTTTACGAGGGACAACTGCTTTCCATATTTTATTATGAAGTGAAACAAAGGAATAGAAGAATCACAATGATTTTATCAAACATAGATTTACATTTTTAAAAAAAATACCCTGAAGAAGTGATATTCCAAACCCTCGTCACTAGACGAGGGAGACAAAGAAACCCCACCAATCAATAACAACAAAGATGCCAACTCAAGAGACTCCCTCCTATCACTTAAATTCCTAGGGAAATTGAAGTTCCAAAAGATTGGTGCCACATTAGAACATGACATCGACGCAATAGACACATTCTGAGAATGAACCAATCTATAAAGAAGTGGGAAATTTGTTTCAAAAGAGGAATCCCCCACCCAAACACCTCCCAAAACCGAATGTTTACACCATTACCCACTTTCAGTGACAGGAAACTAAACATTAGTGGAAGCAATTGCGAAATGGACTTCCAAGGTGGCAAGAAGTGGCTCTACTAACCACGATAGAATCTCTACTATTGTCATGAACTCCATACTTGCTCTTATGATGGATTACCATAACGACTCAATTTCAACAGGAAGTCTCCACAACCACTTGCTCAAGAGAGTTATGTTCCTTGCAACAATATTCCCAATAGCATGACCCGCTTTATTCCTAGGAAGAGAAACGACCTCCCATTTAACTAAGTGATCCATTTTCCCCTCATCGCTTCACTCCCAAAGGAAGTCCCTCATTAACTTCTCAATCTTTTTTGCAATTATAACCGGAATCTTGAACAAGAACAAGAAGTATATAGGAATACAACTTAACACAAACTACACCAAAGTGTATCTCCCCCTCTAGAATCTGTTATCAGAATCTTACGATTCGCGATTCGATTCACGATTTGATTCGCAATTTTTGCAAAATCAATACGAATCTAAGGGTGAATCTATTTTGGAAGTGAATCTCTAGTGAATCGCACGATTTACAATCGATTCACGATTCGATTTGCTTTTTACGATTCATGCAATTTTTAAAATTATTATGTCCGACGTATTTTCGGCTCTATTTTTCCTAGTAAAAATGACATAATACAACTTCTAATAGTGTTTAATACCAAAATAACCAGCATATATACATGATTTATTATTATTTTAGTGATCATAAAGTTTTTAATAGGATCCAATTAATTTTAGTCAGATCCAACATATGTTTAACTTTTCTTCTCATTTTTTTTTTCCTTTAAAAAATCGTTATATATCTTCTAAAGATGTTTAAGATTAAAATTACACTATGAATTATCTATTACTATTTTATTAAATTAAATATTACATCTATGAGGTCAGTTATACTTTTTAAAATATTTTAGGCTTTAAAAAAAAGATTCTAAATGATTCTTTTTTATTATTTGCTCACTGTTATTTAGAAAAGTATGTATGCTTGTTGTCCAAATATTAATATCGTTGTTAATTATTGTTACTTTAGAAATTGATAGTTTATCTATTTGGTTATTATTTTTATTAAGAATGGTTGATAAGAAATATCTAAAAAAGAAAAAAAAGGTAAGATGGTGATCTTACATAGGAACGTTTGTTAACTTCTTACTTATTAAATTACGTGATTATCATTCAAAATAACATTTTTATTGATTTAAGTCTAAATATTTTATATTCATAAGATATATTTAACATCTAAATGTGTAAATATATGTTTTTAAATAATTTAGAAGAAGTGACCGAATCTTTATGATTCACGATTCAATTCGATTCGCGATTCGGTACGAGACCATTACGATTCACGATATGAATCCCGATTTGATAACTATTCTAGATAACAAGGCTATATTCCATCACTCTAATCTTATCGAGGATAGGGTTCCAAAAAACCTCCGACCTAGGATATCCCCCCAACGGAAGCCCCAAATATCTAAAAGGAAATTTCTCAATGGGACAAACTGACATGACCACCATCCTTTCCACATAACTATGCTCCAAATTAATGCCTACAACACTACTCTTGCCAATATTGACTTTGAGACCGGACACAATTTCGAAGATTCTCACTAGTGCTAGCACAATGCCAACTTTTCCTATCTTCCTTTAATGAGAAAAAGTTAGTGTCATCCGCAAACTGTAAGTGACTAACACAAATCTCATCCCTCCCCACCACAAACCCCTTGACAACGCCCTTTTCCTTAGCTCTATCAAATAACCTCCCTAATACATCCAGTACCAAAATGAAAAGAAAATGAGGCAATGGGTCACCTTGCCTTAGTCCTCTAGATGAACGAGACAAATGAATGTTGCATTAGTGCATAGATTAACCTCCCCGTTCTCAAAAAATTTACCAAAAACTCTCATTAAATCCTTTTTAACTATGTCCTAACAATCTTGGAAAACAGCCATTGAAAACCCATCTGGGCCTAGAGCCTTACCTCTTTCGCATTCAAACACAGCCTGTTAAACCTCACTCTCATCAAAAGGTCTCCCAAGCCATCTTTCCTTAGAGATATCCACCGGTTTCCATTCAATGCCTTCAATCCTTGGTCTATCCACTCCTCTATCAAAGTAAAGGTTTGAATAAAAATTGAATATCTCATCAATAATTTGATCTTCCTTCTTCATTACCAACCCTTGCCCAACCTCCAAATTCTTAATGAATTTCTTTTTCCTCTTCTCCGATGCAACTCTATGAAAGAATCTGGAATTTATATCACCCTCCTTTGTGCGTTTCAGCTTTTCCCTTTGCCCCCAAAAAATCTGCTCCCGAAAAACTAGTGCTTCCAATTTCATTTCCAATTTACCCTTTTATTTATTATGTATATGAATATAAATTTACAATACATAGATATGAAAGGCATTGTTACATATGTTGGTGAATTTTTATTTATTTAATTTTTTTTTAACTTTTCCCGTCTTTATTTTCATATGTTTTACTTTGACACCAAATCATCTTTCCAAGGAAAAACCTACTTTAGTGTCTTCAGGCATGTCCAAACACAGGACATGTGTGTCCCTGTCGTCTCAAACATGAACACGAAACCCATCTTTGATACTTCTTAGGTTGGCGCCTTATTTAGCCTAACCCAATAATCTTCTCTCAATGCCCCTCAGACTGCTGTCCGCTTCCTCCTACAGCTTCCCCATGCCATTTGGCCAACAAGCCACCACCCCTCTCCCCTCCCCACCCCCTTGCAACTTCTCCCTTTTTCCCATAACACCCCATTACCCTCTCTTAGAACAAGAGAAAAGGAAATGACATCTAGAATTCAAAGTTTTAGTGACCTCTCATTAATTTTTCTTTTCCACACTGTTGTTGATGGTAAAAATACAATGAAAAGTGTTTCCTTTCTATTTTCTTGTTCTTTGCATCACCCAATCCATTAATAGAATGGAGCCTAAGGCTTTGTTGTTGATGGTAAAAATGCAATGAAAAGTGTTTACTTTCTATTTTCTCATTCTTTGCATCACCCAATCCATTAATAGAATGGAGCCTAAGGCTTTGTTGGGAACTTGGAATTGGTAAGGGAAAAGGATAAAGAAAGGTAAATGAAAGCAAAACCATTTTCTCTAGTGTTCTCACTTCTACTTTTGATATAGTTTGATATTTATTTATTTATGAAATGTTGTTCATGAAAGAGAAATTCAATCTAGAACTAAAAATTTCTCACATCCTTTCTTCATAATTTTTTCCCTCAATGCAAACACTACGCATTAATTGCTCTATTGAGGAAGGCAACAATAGAAGATGACTACTAAATAAAGTACAAGAAATCTGGTTATTGATTCAGAGAACCAATCCAAGCTATTTAAACTCTGTTTTCTCTGTCAGAATTGGTCAAGTTGAATTCTGATCTATTGATTCAAAGTTCTGATCAATTGAGTTCTATTCTAACTCTCAAATCCTAAGATTCACATTCAGCTAGTTTTCAAATTCAGATTCAGTTGCTCTCTATTCAAATCTTGAGATTCTATATTCCGTTGAGGTCCCAAATGCTTCCACCACCATATATACAAACATTATACATATATTTAATATGTAAATATATATTATATCTCTATATAGATGCAGTGAAATTAGAAACTGAGGTATTTGTGTTTTAAACTTGGAAATCAAGTTACAAAATTATGATATTTGGGTTAATATGTGATTTAGTAAATTAATATGGTGTTAAATTAAATAATTTGAATAGCAAAAGAGAAGAGAGAGAAAAAGAACATATAATAGAGGGCTATTAGGGTCATTTTATACCTACCATTAACGAAGACGAAATGTAGAAGAAAACAGTTCGAATAGCATGACAAATACTAAATCATCTTTAGATTCTACGGAATCATAAGTGAAATAGCATATAACATGCTATTCAATTGTTTTACTTCCATTGCCATGTTATTTTTTTTTTTTTTTCTCTACATTTTGTTTTGAAAACAATTGGCTTGATGCAAACATTTGAAAATTGCTAATCATTATGAGAAATTGAACAGGAGGTTGAACGTGCGGTGCAAGTTTTAGAAGGTTTAGAGGGTGTACCTGATCCGGTTTGTGATTCTCTTTGTAAATATAGATTTTTCTTTTCCTTACTCTTCTTCTTCTTTTTTATTTATTTATTTTTTCCTGTCTGGTTTAATATTAATATTTGGCTGAAATATGGAATAAATTGATTATTACAATTTCTAAGTACTTTTTCATGGGTATGAATATTTATCAGAGACATTGTATTAAATTCTTGATAGCAATGAAGCAATGCACACTGAGTAGGGTACAACTGGCATTTCTCAGGGGCTTACTAATGAATTTCTATTCCAATCAAACAATTAATGATTGAAATATTGAAGACTCCATTGGAATAAAAAACTGGAAAGACTTAGAGCTTGCTTCAGTATTTTATTTTGACTGGAAAAACAAAATATGAATTTCTATTTGGACTGGGATAACAAAATATGAATTTCAGAGCTTGTCTTCAGTATTTTATTCCAATGGAGTCTTGACTGATTTTGTATTTCTAACTTTTGCAGACAAGCTCTAGTTTGATTGAAGGTCGCTGGCAATTAATGTTTACAACAAGACCTAGAACTGCATCCCCTATTCAGGTTGACTTGATGCTATTGGTTCAAATATTATTATTATAACCTTGGTTTGAAGTTACAAGCTCACGTCTCATAACTTACTTGGTAGGTGTAGCATATTAAAATATAACTATTTATCACAAAACAAATTATCCAACTGCGTAGCATAAATATAAGAATTTTTGTACTACAAACATACTTCCTAAATAACCCATCAAAGTGTATTTTGTTTTTATATCAGTCTTAAACTTTTCAGACTGTTACTTATAATTTAATATGAATGTGTGGATTTAATTAAACTGTGTGAAATCAATAACTAAATTTTTATTCAACAAGTAATCATTTGACAAATATTCATATGGATAAGAATTGTGTGCTCTACATGTTTAAATCACATATAAAAAAGTGTATTCTTTTTCTTTTTACCTTTTTTGCCCTTTTTCCAAGTTAAAGATTTCATTTTTTTACTTTCAGGGTATTATTTACACCTTCACTATACATGCAACAAAGTTCCCTATGGCCTAATGCATAAGTTAACACATGTGTGAATGTTGGGACTGCATATTTCATTGTTCAGGTCACCATATCAGGCAAGGGGGGGAAAGGAATTAAATTTTAGAACATAATTAAAACATTCATGTGCTTAAGGTGTCTTGTTGAAATCAATAAAAAATAGTAATAATAAACAAAAATATTAAAATGATAGTATGTGAAGATTGAAACTTGTACTGAAGACCTGTGTCCAACTGACACTAGAATTTAGACTATCTCTGATTCAGTAATCATTTGTTATATTTGTATCTTTTGTGTGGTGATTAAGGGACTGAACGATCAGATACTAGGGATAGCCAATCTCATAACATTTAGGATAATTAGGTCACTCTAGCCTACTTGGTTTATCATGTTAGAATGTGTGGTTGTCAAACTCTAAAGATCAAAGGACTGAAAATCAGTAGATCATGCAAATTCCTTCTGATTACCATTTGAGGACCATTTGGTTCTAAGTTTGCAACAAATGGGGTCAGATCCCAACTATGAATTTTAGATCACATGCTATAGGAAAAGGACTTGCGAAACAACTTGGGCACCTACCCATTTAGGTTCTAGGATATAAGGCATACCTTAGTCCTTGCATAGTAACTAAGGCCAGCTTAGCGCATAATTTAAGTTGCTTGTGGTCCAGTGAAGAAAACCAATGCTTAGTTTACTTTAGAGGCAGAAACTTGAGAACCAATATTTGTTCTTTATCTCCAATCGCCGCCAAAGCATTTTGCATGCATAGCTGTTAATTGAGATATTGTAATATTAGGAGCAATTCATTAGTTTAAACTGCACATGGGTTTTATTGCTACTCAATAATGGTCTCAAGATAAATGAAAACAAAACAAGATACAAAAAGAAACCGAACCAAGCCTTGTGTGTCACTTAGGTTGGGTCAGCTACATGCATCCCTTTTTGCCATCCACTCTATCAATGTAGAGAGATAGATAGTATATTAAATATAGTTAGATAACAGTTAACTAATGGGTCTGTTACACCGCCTCATTATCTTCCCACCTGTATATATTTATGAGGCATCTTGGAATAGGCTCCAGCTGTATATATTCTTTTTGTCTATATATTTGTCTTTGAGGTTGTGGTGGAGGGTAATTAGGCGCTCTATATCTTTCCATTATTGTTTGTTTGCTATTCTTCATTCTCTACTCAAATATATTGTAGCTTTACTATCAATGGCTTTATGCTCAATTAAATTAACTAAATCGATATCATTGTTACTATTGCATTTCATGTTAGAACACAGAAAACGAAAGTGGGCAGTAGTGTGAGTCTTCGTAAAGAATCGGCCAGCTAGAGAGAGGAGGGAACAAAAGGGAGAGTAAGAGCGTCAGCCTGAAGATGATGCTGAACAAAATGACAGTCTATCTCAATGTGTTTCGTACTCTTATGAAAAGCCGAGTTATGGGCAATCTGAATAGCACTTTGATTGTCATAGTAAAATGGAGTTGAGAAAGATACTCCCATATCAAAAAGAAGCCATCGAAGCCAAGCCACTTTAGAAGTAGCATGAGCCATGGCATAATATTTAGCTTCAGCGGTGGAGCAAGCAACCACAGATTGTTTCTTACTTTCCAAGAGATAAGAGAATCTCCAAGAAAAACACAGAAACCAGAGGTAGACTTGTGATCAAAGATATCACTAGCCCAATCAGTATCAACATAGGCACAAAGAGTCAAATCCGAAGATGAAGGCAATAATAAGCATTGCAACAAGATACTCTGAATATAGTGAAGAGCATGTAACAAGGTAACCCAATCGGTGGAATGAGGAGCAGAGACAAATTGGCTAAGAATGTGCACAGTATAAGAAAGATCCAGGCGAGTCACAGTAAGGTAAACAAGACAACCAACCAACTCACAATATATAGTAAGATTCTTAAGAAGAATCCCATCAGAAGTAGAAAACTTAGCGTGCAATTAAATAGGAGTATCCATTGTCTTGGCATCAATGAGATTGATATGAGAGGATATCACTGTAAGTTTTCTGAATGAAACTGTATTTTAGATTGAATTAATTGAACAAAGAATACATCACTTATATAGAACACTAATTCCTAATCCTAAACTAATGCAACACTGAATATGATTCTAATAGATATAGAACACCAAGTCCTAATCCTAAAAGGAAAAAGACTAAATATAGGCATGCGAATATAGGCATATTCTCACACCCCCACTCAAACTCAAGGTGTTTTAGCAGGAAACACGGAGAGTTTGTCAAGAAAAAACCGAAACCGAGCAATGGTGTGAGTCTTGGTGAAAAAGTCAGCAAGTTACAGAGCTGAAGGGACAAAAGAAAGCGATATAAAGCTAGACTATAGATGTTGACGGATGAAATGACAATCAATCTCAATATGTTTTGTCCATTCATGGAAGACAATGTTATGAGCAATTTAAATAGCACTTCGGTTGTCACAATAGAGAAGTCGGGGAAGACTGAGGGACGCCCAAGTTAGATAAGAGACCACGAAGCCAAACAATTTCAACAGCAGCATGAGCCATAGCACGATATTCAGCTTCGGCAGTAGAACGGGCAACAACAGTTTGTTTCTTGCTTTTCTAAGAAATTAGGGAATCGTCAAGAAACATACAAAAATCAGAAGTAGATTTACGATCATTAACATCACCAACCCAATCAGCATCAGCAGAGGCCACCGAATCTAAGGAAGAAGTAAAAGAGAATAGCAAGCCCTAAAAGATAGTACTGCGAAGATAGCGAAGGATCTGAAGCAAAACAGCCCAATGTAGAGTGAGGAGCAGAAACAAACTGACTAATCACATGGACAGCATAGGCAAGATCAGGGTGATTAACTGTCAAATAGACTAAGCAACCCACAAGCTCGTGATATAACGTAGGATCGTCCAGAGGAACACCATCAGTAGTGTTGAGCCTCACATTAAGCTCAATGGGGGTATCAGAAAGCTTAGTGTCAATAAGTCTGGTACGATGGATAACGTCATTGGCATACTTAGCCTGGGACAGAAAGTAACCCTTGGAAGAAGAAGCCACCTCAATACTCAGAAAATACCGTAATGGTTCCAGATCCTTCATTTCGAAAGTGCAGAAGAGATACTGCTTGACCTCAGAGATAGCAGAAGCGTCAGAGCCAGTAATGATCATATCATCCACATATAGTAAAAGAGCAACAAAACCAGCCGAGGTATGTCTTAGAAATAAAGTAGAGTGATGAAACCTAAGCTCGGTAACAGCAGTCTGAAAGCGATCATATCAAGCACAAGGAGACTGCTTCAGACCATACAGAGCACGCCGAAGACAACAAACCTGACCAGAGGAATGGTGAAGACCAAGGGGAGGACGTATGTAAACCTCCTTAGTGAGATGGCCATTAAGAAAAGAATTCTTAACATCCATCTGCTAAAAAGGTCAAGAACGAATAGCAGCGACAAAGATTAAAGTACGGGCAATAGTCATCTTAGCAACAGGAGCAAACGTCTCCTCATAATCAATGCCATATTCCTGGGAGAAACCTTTGGCAACCAGACGAGCTTTGTAGCGCTCAAGAGAACCATCAGAATGAGTCTTGACTTTGTAGACCCATTTGCAACCAATTAGATTCTTACTAGCAGAAAAAAAAGAACTAACTCCCAAGTACTAGTTTTCTATTGAGAAAACAACTCATCCTCCATGGCGTGAACCTAATGAGGATCCTGACAGGCCTCCTTATCAGACTGAGGTTCTACAAAAGAGTGAATAGTAGACAAAAAGGTACGATAGGAAGCAGAAAAACAAGTATTAGACCAACCCAACCTGTTTAGAGGACGACGCGCTCGAGAAGGATATCGGTGTATCGCAAGATCAAAGTCATCAGAAGCAGGAGGATCAACAGCAGGGGCAGAGACAATTGGTGGAGGAGGAGCCTTACGATGAGAATAAACTGACAATGGAGGAGGAGAAGAAGTCGGAGGTGAAGAAGCAGCCAAAGGTAAAGCAGGAGGAGAAGATGGAACAAGTGCAGGAGGAGCTGTGGAGATGTACTCATCATATGGGACCTCAGAAGGAAATGGGTCAATATGAATCAAATCCTCTTTGGAAACTGGCACGGTGAGAGGAAGCTGAAAATAAGATAGATGTTCGAGAAAGGCAACATGGCGGGAGACATAAAGGCGACGGGAAACAAGGTCATAACAGTGATAACCTTTCTGAGTGAGACTATAATCCAAAAAGACACATAAGACAGACCAGGCACTAAGTTTGGTCCTAATTTACGGGATAAAAGGACAAAACAAGCAGGCCCAAACACACGAAGGAGGGAGTAATTAGGAAATTAAGAAAATAGAGCCTCATAAGGAGACTGACCAGAAACAAGCAGACCCAAGCTTTCGACCACATAGAGATCCCCAACTCTATGGCCGGTCCCAATCTATTCTTGGACACCCGATCTTGAAGACGACCCAAGCAAACCTGAATCAAGAGAGGTAAGAGCGGAGGCAAATGGGGATGGTTGAGAGGTGGAGAGGATATGTTGAAGTTGTGCAACCTGAGCACTCAAGAAAGCCAAGTCAGGATTGGGAGCTGGAGTAGATGCAGTGTAAGCTGCAAAAGGGCGGAAAGTACCTGAAGTAGGACCGCAGAACTATGTCTGGAAAGATGGAGCAGGCTGACATCCCTTCTTGGGACAGTTGTTCTTCTAATGACCCCTCTGATGGCAGAAAGCACACTCATCTGGCCCTAATGGTCCTTTCTTGGGTTTTACAGTGGCCTGAAGCTGATAAGGAGGTGGGGTTAATAACAAGGGAGGCTTGGCATTAGCCAAGAAGACAGAAGGAGGCAGAGTCTGACTGGTTGTCTTAAGACGGGTTTCTTCGAAGAGGAGCTCACGAACAATAGCATCCACAGAGGGAAGAGGAGATCGGTGAAGGATGCCACCTCGGATAGCCTCATACTGAGGGGAGAAAGCCATTAAGAACTGCACTAAACAACCCTGCTCTTGAAACTCAATATAAGCGTCAAGTATCTTAAGATTAGGTGGTTCCATAAGAGCTAACTGATCCCAAAGACCGATCATCTCAATATAGAAGTCTTGAATAGTTTGATCCCGCTGACGAGCACTCTGAATAGTTGTTTCCAACTCATACCGCTTGGCAAAGTTGAACTGCTGATAAACATCTAGTAAATAATCCCATACTTCCTTGGCAGTACTGTACTTGGAAAACGCCATTCCAATACGGTCATCCACAGAATTATGAAATCAAGTCAGAACTTAGGCATTATCATAATCCCAAGTGTCACAAGAAGGCAGATGCGCTTCCGCCTTCGGGTCCGATGGACGAGGAACATAATCAGAAACATAGCTCCTTTTTTTTTACCAAGAAGAAAATTTTTCATGACACTGGCCCAATAGGTATAATTGCCACCAGTGAGTTTATATTTGATGGCGTAAATTTTAGTATCCGACATTGTAATAAAACAAAGTTTGTAATAAACAGACTAGTATGGGGCTTTCGTGCAATAATCCTGAAATAGGGTTTTAAATAGAAATACCCTAAGGCCCCGTTCGTTTTGAGGTGTAGAGGGTGGGATGGGATTAGGATGCAGGTGGGGCCCATTTAGTGTTGTGTTTGTTTGTAAAATTGAGGAATGGATTAGGATAGAGGAGGGAATTAAGATGGAAGTTGGAAGGGGGATTTGGATGGAGGAGGTGAAGGTGGTATTAGAAAAATAGTGAGGAGACTAGAAATTTTTTTTTTATTTTTTACATGTTGG